CGACGTGAATATATAATCGGATTTGTAAGCGGCTTGCAGTATTTGGCTTTCATATTTTAAAGCACTTATTTTTGTATTTATGTGTAGTTGAGGTGATAATATTAATTTTGGCTTTCCATGGTATTTTGAGATTATTTAGTATATGACGCTACAGAAAAGCATGTCTAGCCTTTAGTTCCTTTTGGATTATGTTAATGTACTTTCTGGATGGGATTAGGAGATTTGTTTGAAAGTAGACTTGGAGGACTGGCTAAAGTCTTTTATCGCAAGTATCGTTGAAACGCTTTTCTTTTTAACTAAGCTACAACCCTCATTATGCACAAAATGTGTGTTGAAGATTATCGACGCTTTTTTTATAAAAGTTTGGTTAAACTGAAGTATTTATGGAAAGCATAGGCGCAATGCTGATGGAATCATCGAGAGGACTTTCCCCTATGATGGAATGGGTATTGTGGATTGATTTGAAACAATGACCTGTATCCATAGGTGCAAACACATCCTTCTCTTCTTTCCTCACGAATTGTTTTGGACGGCAATGGACGCCGGCGTCGCTCACAGCCTCGATACTAATTGGTGCTGCGATATTGTGGCTCAGCTGTTAAATCTCTAACGGCGGCTATTTCTTGACTTCAATTACACTTACAATTTTTCACCGGCATCCATCGAGAACGATGAAGAGTATGTATGGATACTTTGAAACCTAGCGAAAGGCCCTTTAAAGGCTCAATGGCTAACGCGGTCTCTAAGTGAGGGCCTTTTGAATTTAAAACCGGAATTCTATATTAACTATGTGGGTAAATCTCACTTTGCAATGATCGACTCCTTCACTTTTCCTCATAAAATTTAATAAATCAGATTTTGCTCCTTTTTGAATACTATCATTCGCTTCTCACGCATATGTGCGAATTTCAAGCGAAATGGAAGGTTTTATATGCGATTACCTTCGCAACCCGGTTGCGAGAGACAAAACTCTGCTCACTGATAAGTACGTACGCGGACATGTTCCACAATAAGACGTGAATCCTACAGCTACGAACGTCGTTAAACAAGCTACTGACACCCGTTAGCCAACGACTCAAACACAATCATCATCCCTCCATGGAAGATTAAGTCGTCTGATTGACGAGATGCGCACAATGTGATAATAAAGCCATAAAAGTCATCCTGACTCCTTTCAACCGCACTGATGAAATGTCATACCAGTGTACTATTGTATTGTTATAAGAGGCTGAACGGGATGACCAAGATGGACACGTCCTTGCCGTCATGCACTAAAGTTAGGTTGTTGTCCGCATTGCATTTAAAGCCTGGCCACTGGCAGATAGGGAAAGAGGTGGAAAAAGAGAATTTGCGCATTCCAAACAATGTACTTTGAATCTAATAAAGTAACAACTACCTTTCAAGGGCTGATGCAGACAGCATTAGTTGACCTTTTCAATGCACTTTAGAGGCATTCTCATCAGTAATTTTAGTTTTGGTAGAATTATCCGAAAACAAGACATTAACCTATGGCTAGTGGTGGATGGCCTTCGAGAAGTTTGATTAGTTCCAAATTCAAAAATTGGCCTTGTTCAAAGGTCAGTCAGAGTTCTGAGTCTTACATTCTCAGGGTGAAATGGAGGCAACTAAACTTGCTAATCTGGCTGCCACCAACCAAACACAGAAAGCATCGCACTTTACTAGGTTTGACAAACTACCGTAGAGGTTATTTACTGAACCTTCTACCAAGCTTACTACTCCATTAAAGGAAGCAACGGTGAAACAAAGGAAAAAAACTTTAAGCAATAGAATACTCATCTGCACACTGCTTTTAGCCACACCAAACTTTGAAAACAAAGAGCCACGTTCTGAACTGAAGTTGAACGCGATTATCTTCCTAAGTGGAAAACGCCAGAGAAAAGATTTCGTCGTCTCTGCGGGCCATAAACTCAGCCAAAAATTTGACCAAAGAGTTCGATCGAAGACAAAAACGTGTTTCAATGCTTTGTTTATGTGAGTACTGGACGTTTGGCGGCAACTATAGAATTTGTCTGACCCTTGTACATGTGGGCTGGCCTTTGGGCCACGCTCAGGCTCCATTTGTTCTGTCGCCTTCCAAATACATGCGTCCAACCTCACTTATGACTTCTTCCATCCTATAGGAAGCCGCGGGACACTACACTGGTGCCAGCGGACGACCTTTAGGTATAAAGTGCTTTTGAAGACCCTTCTGCTGCAGCCGAAGTGGGGTTTCTCTCTGCATTGTTCTTCTTTGGTCGTTTGTTAAAAGCGACAACCTACTGCCCAACAGACACCGCTGTCTTACTAACATCCTACGTTTGCATTACTAAACGTTGCCAATTAATCGACTGATTTCCGGAAAAGAACAGTACGAACAGGTCGACGAGCAACGGTTCGATCGGATCATGCACTGGTTCAGTATATGCAGATACCCCAGAAACCGGGTTCCCTTGGTCGGAACGTCGAAACCTCTCTTTTCGCGACAAGAAGGTTGTAGTGCAACCAGCAACAAGGCTGCAAGTGGAGTAATCCAAGATCAATAGGACCATGTTGATGTTGTGCATTGGCAATCATGAGCTATACATGCATAGAAGGAAGTCTGACTCTATCGAGGTGCACTAGACGGAGATACAGGCGAAAAGGGACGTAAATTGAAGGGGGCGCATTTACCTTGGTGACGGAGAATCCCTGAATCCCTCACAACGAAAGGATTTAGACGGACGTCTGTATTTCTTTTCACCTTAATCCCGTGTTCCACAGACAAGCTATTAACAGCTGAAGCGACACCGCCGTGAAGTATCTGGAAAAGTATCGTGTGGGAGGTTCCCATACAAGATGCGTGTTTAGGTGTCGGAAATGACACAACGGTTCTCCTCGCATACGGGACAGTGGCTTATCTTGTTTCCCTTGTAACATATATGCTTTAGACCAGAGTCACTATGGAATTTGTCTGGTCCCTGTACACGTGGACTGGCCTTCTGGCTGCGCTTAGATCCCATTTGTCCTGTCGTCTTCGGAATACATGTATTTACCTCACTTATGCATTTTTCCACTCTATGTGAAGCCTGGGGACGCTACACCTGTTGCCTTGTACCGTCAATCTAAATACCTACTGCCGTTTTGCAATCCCAACACCGCAATCATTGCAACGTTTTAACACCTTCCATTAATCAGCAGAAGGCATTGTGTAAGGTTGAGTACATGGATTCGGAAAGAAGCGGGAAGGGTTAATTTTTTCCTTTACTCTTGGAACAGATCACGCGGCCAAGAGAAGACGGACCACCAAAAAGACCGCTGGTCGTACATATAGCGTCTCGAGACTTCACACCTGGTGGAAGGCAGTAAGTAAAGCCGGATACATGTATTCCAAAGAGGAATTAGCAAATTGGTCTGAGCATGGTCCAAAGGTCTGCCCATCAGTACAAGGACCAGACGATTCCTTATGTGGCAGTTGAAGATCAGGTAGTCACATAAACAATGCAAAACAGTCTTTGGAGATTAAGTTTAAATAATGTCAAAGCCTAATTTATGTGTTTACAAACAACAAACACTGCACCTTAATATAGCACTTAACTAGGAAACTTATTTGTTATTCAAACCACCTTTTGGTTTGTAATGCCACTGATTAGAGGATATTAATATTATTAATTGTTGTGTAATGATAGTGTTTTCAAATTTCTCTTTGTAGTGGCGCGATCTACGAGTTGGTATTTTGGTCAGCTGATCCCGGCGGTGTTGGGACACTGAATCATTTGTATTTGTGGTGTTTTGTCGTTCTTCTGTGCATTATTACCTACACGCTAAACGTCTTAGCTTTTGGATTATTGTGGCTGATTGTCTTCGTTTCGTTCGATGCATTTCTATATCTTTCTAATCATTTGAGTCGGTAATAACTGAGGAAATCAAGACTAAAGGGGTGGTCACTAAAGCGTTGTCCATATGCCCACTTTAGCTATGTTTATCAACTGCGAGAGGCTTTCTAAGTATCTAATTTGTGGCACGCATGATATTTCGCCTGTGGCTAGTTCGCTTGCCTCGTAACTGTTGTTCCGCCTTTGCTATCACTGGCCAGTGTTTTTTGTGCAACTGGTCACGGTTAGTTTTATTACTACTATACCTGTTATAAATTTGTCCTGCTTTGCAGTGCTTTCCAAAATTTAGAGCTGAAAGCTTGTATACTCCATGCTGTCATTAACATCCCTTATATTCGCGTTTCCTCCTTGTAGATATTAAAGGCAAAGCTCAGTGGAACACTGGTTTGCAGGTTTTATCCAGATAAATTTTATTATTTTGAATTTTTTTGAAATGCAACCCTTTTTTACTGTTCCTGTGGAGAAGTACAGGTAGGCTCATCAGGTAACATTCACATCGATTCGCTGCAGTGAGAAAAATTTGATGGAGAGTGTTCGTGATATCCTCACTGACTGCTTACCAGCAACCTCTCTTGCCTCGGATCCTTCTCAAGAACTTGTTGTCTGGGCCAGTTTTGAAAATTTTACCCATTCCGCTATTGGGAACGAGAAAATATCCTTTCTCATCCTCATAAGCACTAATCATGGATTCTACATCTGGGCTATATTGGTGCGCTACTTATCTTACCTCATCAACTGTTTTAGAATAATGGACAAGCTTCGTTATTACTTTCTCGTGTGGGAGTCTATGTTCTTGGTGCCAAACTCTTGACTGATCCTCATGGTATGTCCTTCCTCGCTTTACTATGGTTCATAATTAGCTGAATTCGTCGATTACAAAAAGGAGACACGCCCACTTATCGCAATCTGCAGTGAGCAAAGGTAGGTTTCTGGCAATTAATTTGGATTCTTTCAGTAATTCGAAGTGGAACGTCTGCTTTACTTCCCTACTCACCAATGCTATTGTGGCGAATTATTCCTCTCCATCCTACATTTCCTCTGTTGACGCTAATCGACGGTTTTTCCTCTTTTCTGGTTCATTGCTTCTTTTACAGATTTGTACTTGTGAATCGTGTTGATTGTATTTCCGTCCTATCAGCCCACACTCTCCTGGAACTCTTTACCATCGGTTGTAAGTGTTCTCCGCACCTTTTTTATCAGGGTTTGTTTTCTCATCACTGCCTATACTATTCTTTTTTAAGATGTTAAAACGATTTGCAAATCAGTGCTAGCTAAGAGTCTTCCCGTTGCTTTGGGCACCCGTTGGTTAGCTTTTCCTGATGTTCGAGTAAGTTTCTCGGTTTATTGGCAACTATTATCTTTTATTTTTGATGGTTTGTTGAATTCCCCTTCCCCCTTCCCGAGTGGCTGTCGGTATTCACCTCTTCCCTAGTTTATTTTTATGCGTTTGGGTTCCTCAAGCCTATCTATTACCACGTATCTCGATGCGGCGATGCAAGTGACGATTCATCAAAGCCTGTTGCCACGACTGTGCTTAACGTAAACAAAGTGAGTTGATTATTTTCTTTCGCTTCATTTTATGTTCGATAACTTGCTACCTCTACTTAATTTTAGAGCTGCAAAATTGCTTACACTTAATTTTAATGTCTGAAAAACCTCCTTTTTTGCCTATTGTCCGTATTGATACGATACCATTGAGGTTGAAAAGCAACGCGTAAGACTACACAACCTCGCAGACCAAATGAATCCAATCATTTGTTTGACCACTTTTAGGTCTCAGCTGTGCTCAACAAATCCTTTCAGCGGTAGCTAGGTTTGTATCTCAATGTGGTCTTAAAATTTCCGCCCCAAAATGCTTGTCAAGGCGATATCTTGTACCATTCATCAGCATGGTAGATGAAAGTAGTAATGAGTTGCATACAAAGCAGAAATCCAAGACGTCTGCTGTCCGTTATGCATTTGATGCTCAAACCAAATTACCCTATTAAGATTCGTTGATGCACGTAGTTGACCATTCTCATGCAATCTTCTCCTGGTGCGTTACATTCAGACCATCACTTTCCCACGGCGGTTTTTGTCCGCTGAATTCCAACGAAATCCTCACCCCTTTTGGTACCATAATTTTGTGGACTAAT